GCTGCTGCTGCTGCTGCTGCTACTACTACTACTACTACTACTACTACTGACTATTCTGACGACGACGACCTCGACGACGATGACGGCGGCGACGACGACGACAATTCTTACTACCACGTTTACTATTATTTGTTCAACAGGGCTCGTGAGTGCTCTCAGAGCTTGGTTGGATTCGATTCCCCCTTCCTCTCCTCCCTCATCCTCCCCCCCTCCTCATCTTAATTGCATCCATCCGCTAACGCAGAGACCTCCTCCTCTTCCTCCTCCCCCTGCCCCTCCTCCGCCCCCCTTCTTCTCTTGTCCCCGCCCGCCAAGACACCGAACTCGACTCCAGAGGAACGCATGTCTCCTGCATCCTCCTTCCTCTCTTCCCCTCCGCCCTCCCCCCCCGCCCCTCCTCCATCCTCCCTCACTTGCCGCCGACGGGCTAAGCGGAGCAAGCCAGGCGCAGGAGCAACCAAACATGCTGCCGCCGGGTAGCATATCCGAGGGATTTGCCGATCTTCTTGGGATTTCTTCAAAGCCGGGGCCGGGGAGGGGTGCAGAGCCTCCTAGCCGAGCGGCCTCCCAAGGACCAAGACATGTTTACGACCGTGACCTTCTCCGAGGAGCAGCAGGCGCAGTTCGGCGTCGACGAGGACGGATACGTCCAAGACCTGGCCAAGTTCGACGCCGCCACCGCCGACTTGCCACCGCAGCCGATGCAGAACCAGGCCCCAGCGGCGGCGGCGGATGCCGCCGAACCCAGCATCCAGCAGCCCCCGACTCCCCCCCGCCCTTCTCGACACCCTCCCTTCCTCCGAATAGTGCTCCCCTTCCTTTTCTTCCCCCCACCGGCCTCCTTTCCGTATCCCTCTCCTCTGGATCAAATTGTAGCTCCCCATCCCTCCCGCTCTCCCCGCCCCCCCCATCCAAGCAAGGGGATGGGTCTGGGGATGGGGAGGAGGAGATGGGAGAGGACGAAGCCGACAGCAGATGGGGTCATTTCCCGTGAATTCCCAATGTTTACACCACGAGCGCCAGCAGGGGAGACGGACCACGACTTCGAATGCTTCATTGTCGTGGGATGTGTTTCTTCCCGCGTGTGGCTGGCGGCCCCAGAGGTGCAGTCGGGGCCCTGAAGAAGGAACCCTTTTCGTTGGGGAGGGGCTCCGCGTTCCTTAATTGCTTCGCAGCTTGCCTTGGATTGTCCCTAGGTTTTCGATATGAAATCGAAGTTCAACTTATGGAAAATAGGGGCCTCGCTCCTTATTTATCGTTCCTTAGGTCAACGCCCCGACTGTACCGCCCTTCGATCTTGGACATCGGAGGTTACCAAAACCGCGCTTTCAGTTGCGGCTGGACTCAGCGTAGCGGGCACATAACAAAACCGATCGATGTTCCCATTCCGGAGGGAAACATAGCCACAGGCACACATATCGACGTCGACCTCCAGGAACATAAGAGAACGTTGGGCAACGGGAGGGGAAGATGGACACTCACAACATCTGACGATGGGGACGCTTGGAAGTCGCCTTTATCTATGTGTGAGAGCCCCCTCCTCCTCCTCCTCTTCCCTCCTCCTCCCCCTCCTCCTCCTCCTCCTCCTCCTCTCTTCCTCCTCCTCCTCCTCCTCCTCCTCCTCCCCCTCCTCCTCCTCTACCTCCTCCTCCTCCTCCTCCTCCTCCTTCTCTCCCCCTCCTCCTCCTCCTCCTCCTCCTCCTCCTCCTCCTCCTCCTCCTCCTCCTCCTCCCTCCTCCCCCTCCTCCTCCTCCTCCTCCTCCTCCTCCTCCGCCTCCTCTCCTCCTCCTCCTCCTACCTCCTCCTCTCCTCCTCCTCCCCCCTCCTCCTCCTCCTCCCCCTCTCTCCTCCTCCTCCTCCTCCTCTCCTCCTCCTCCTCCTCCCCTCTCTCCTCCTCCTCCTCCTCCCTCCTCCTCCTCCTCCTCCTCCTCCTCCTGTGTGTGCGTGCGTGCGTGCGTGGGCCGCCTCGCCTCGCCGCTGGCCAGGCACGCCGTGGCGTCGGCTGTCCTCCCGCCTGCGCCCTGGGCCCGCCGCTCCCCCACCTGGCGCGGCTCTGCTCCTTTTCTCCCCTTGGTCTCGCTCGGACGCGTGCACTTTTCCTCCGGCGAGGGCCATCGAGGAGCATCCTTGATCGTCTGGCGAAACATCCACGCACGAAACCGAAAGCAAAAACACAGGGAACCCAGACCCCCGACGTCATGATTTTTTCATGACGCGACCCCCAGAGGTCTGGACCTCTTCGCCGGGACCGGTTTTTCACCCCGAGTCGTTTTTTGACGGTCCCGAGGTCCGGTAAGGGCCCCCGGAGGCCGAAAACATAGAAAAACCTCCCGTCGTGATTTTTTCATGACTCGAGGGGGTCTGGGAACGGACGCCTCCTCCTCCTCCTCCTCCTCCTCCTCCTCCTCCCCCTCCTCCTCCTCCCCCTCCTCCTCCTCCTCCTCCTCCTCCTCCTCCTCCTCCTCCTCCTCCTCCTCTCCTCCTCCTCCTCCTCCTCCGCCTCCTCCTCCTCCTCCTCCTCCTCCTCCCCTCCCCTCCTCCTCCTCCTCCTCCTCCTCCTCCTCCCGCCCTTCCGCGTGCCGCCCGCTCCCGCTCCTGCTCTGTGCCGCCCAGCGTTGCGTGGTGCCGTTGCTTGTCATCCACCCCTCCCTCTGCCCGCGCCTCGCAGGCCTGCGGGTCTCGGCGCATCGGCTCATCCTTGAGCCGTGCCTTGGTTCACTGGGTCGGGGCTCTGCCGCATCGTGCTTTTCCAGCCTCGGCTGCAGCTCGGTGCTGCTCCTGCCCTGGCTTCAGCCCTGTTCAGCTCAGTGCTGCTCGGTGCCTGCGCTGGTTCCCACTCGCGGCGCTCCCCCCGCCGCAGTCGGCAGCTCCCCTCGGGCCTCTCAGCCTTCCGCCTCCCCCCACGCGCCTCGTAGGCCCGCAGGTCTCGGCGCATTGGCCCATCCCTGGACTGTGCTCGGTTCACTGGGTCGGGCTCTGTTTCGTTTTGTTCCCAACCATCCTGTGGTGTTGGGTCCTCGTTTTGAAGAGACAGCGCCCGCGTCCTCCTTCCTTCCTTTTCCTCCCGCTGCCTCCCCTCCTCCCCCTCCTTGCCTCTGCCCTCCGCATGTCTCTCTGCCGGCACACCCCTCAGACGTTTCGTGGCCCCATAAGGAGCTCCAACTACGGTCCCAGAGGCGGAACTCGCATGCGGTCCCCGTACCCATTTTGGCACACCCCTCACACGTTTCGTGGCCCCATAGGGAGCTCCACCTAAGGTCCCAGTGGCGGAACTCGCAGGCGGTCCCCGCATCCATGTCGGCACACCCCTCACACGTTTCGTGGCCCCATAGGGAGCTCCACCCTAAGGTCCCAGTGGCGGAACTCGCACGCGGTCCCCACACCCATTTTGGCACACCCCTCACACGTTTCGTGGCCCCATAAGGAGCTCCACCTATGGTCCCAGTGGCGGAACTCGCACGCGATCCCCGCACCCATGTCGGCACACCCCTCACGCGTTTCGTGGCCCCATAGGGAGCTCCACCTACGGTCCCAGTGGCGGAACTCGCACGCGGTCCCCGCACCCATTTTGGCACACCCCTCACACGTTTCGTGGCCCCATAGGTAGCTCCACCTACAGTCCCAGTGGCGGAACTCGCACGCGATCCCCGTACCCATGTCGGCACACCCCTCACACGTTTCGTGGCCCCATAGGGAGCTCCACCTAAGGTCCCAGTGGCGGAACTCGCAGGCGGTCCCCGCATCCATGTCGGCACACCCCTCACACGTTTCGTGGCCCCATAGGGAGCTCCACCTACGGTCCCAGCGGCGGACCTCGCATGCGGTCCCCGCACCCATGTCGGCACACCCCTCGCACGTTTCGTGGCCCCATAAGGGCGTCGTCCTCGGCGTCGTCGGCGCCCGCGAGGACGGCCGCGAACGTGTCCCTGAGCATGTCGGGCTCCGGCGGGAAGCCGTGGCCACATAGGGAGCGTGGGCGAAGATGGTATTCACAGTTGCGGTATTCACAGCTGCGTATGGTTGGGTATTTCGCCAAGCTGCTTTTCCACCTCCAACTGCAGCTCCATGCTGCCTCCCCCTCAGCTTCAGCGCAGTGCAGCTCTGTTCCGGCGCTGCTCCCCCCCCCTCGGCGCTCCCCCCGCCGCAGCAGGCAGCTCTGAGTGGCTCGGCTTCCTCTCTTCCTGTTGTGCCGGGGCTCCTCCTCTTCCTTCCGTGCGTTGCGGCTTGACTCTGCATGCAGCGTGCCCCCTGTTGCCATTCCGCCGGAGCTGTCGCCTTCTGCCCCGCCGTCGACGCAAAAAAGTGTGCGTGGGCCATTTCTGTTAGGGGCGTGCTTGCGTGCGCTCTCATGCCAAGCAGCCTCGCCCATAGCACTACCAGGGATATTCAGGAGGGAAAAAACCCACAGACACAATTTATCGTCGATTTCCGAGAAAATATGGGAAACTATGGGAAGTGGGGGGAAGACAAGGACCCAGAACATATGGGATAAGATTGGGAATGTGTGTGTATTTATTTGTGTGTCCTGGGGCCCCTTGACAAGCAGCCTCGTCCATACCACTACCAGGGATATTGTCGTCCGGATGGGTATATGGACCCTTCTGGGTCCAGGGGTTCGTCCACATGCCTTTTGCAGGGCGCTCGGGGGAAGGGGGATGCGACGGTCGCGCCCTCCACCACCGAGACATCGGCATATATAGCACTGGCTTCGTGGGCCCTGGAAACGACAGGGCCGTTTTTTTACCGGTTCCGTTCTGCCGTTTTTTGCCGGTTCCGACGCCGTTGTTTTACCGGTTCCGGCTCCGGCTCCAATCCTGGAGCTGTTTTTTTGCCGTTTCCGGCCGCCGTTTTTTTACCGTTTCCATTTTCAAGGGACATTTTCTGGGAAACGGTTACAAAAACGGCCCTGCCGTTTCCAGGGCCCACAAAGGGCATTGGTATTTTTATGTGTGATATCGCAAGTCCCACGATAGTTCGCAATTGTTGATGCATGCGTCTGCATGCGAGCGTGTTTACATACGTGTGCTGATGTACAATGTACACGCTTCGCGTGACCCCGCCAGCCCATCCAGAAACGATGCCCAGAGGAAGTGCCTCGATCAGGGACGTGGGCAGCACACAGAGGAAGGGTCCCCCAGAGGAGGCCTCTTGGAGCGTCTTGGGGGCCTCGCGGCGGTCCCGGAAGCCTCTTCGAGCGTCTTGGGTGCCTCGGAGAGATTATTGGGGCCTCTTGGGGGTCTCTTGGGGGCCTCTTGGAGGCCTCTGGGGCGCCTGTTGGGGCCTCCTGGGGCATCCTGGGCGCCTCTTGGGGCCCTCTTGAAGCGCTCTTGGGAGCCTTGGGAGCGCTCTTGGAGCCCTCTTGGGCCATCTTGGAGTCATCTTGAAGCCTCGGATGCCCATCGGAAACGAAAAGGCGAGAAAGGCAAAATTACTATTTTTCCCAATGTTTTGGACGGATTTTGGCCTCATCGGGGCCTCCTGGGAAAGCTATTTGGCCACCTGGAGCCGTCCTGAAGCGGTCTTTGGGCCTCTTGGAGCATCGTGGGAGCCATCTTGAAGATCCTGGGATATCTTGAACCATCTTGGGGGTCATCTTGGGCTCTCCCAGGCGTTCTTGGAGTCATCTGAAGCAGTGCTCCCCCCCAGGAGGCCAAAATGTGGCCAACACCTTGGTAACATCAATGAGTGTGGCATTCTCGCCGAGGCCTCTTGGAGCGTCTCGGGTGCCTCTGGGGGGTCTCTTGCTGCCTCGCGGGGGTCTCTTGGGAGCCTCTTGGGGGTATCCTGGGGGCCTCTTGGGGGCTTCTTTGGGCCACATGGGGCCATCTTGGGGCCATCTCGGGGCCTCCTGGCGCCTCTTGGGGCAATCTTTTTGGAGTAGATCGATCACAGGAGGGGGGAGTCCAAAATTAGCCGCCCCCCCAGGAGGCCAACATGGGGCCAAAACCTTAGTAAAACCAATGATTTTGGTTTCCTCGCCGAGGCCGTTTTGGACGCTCCAACGCGTCGGGGAACCCCCCGTCCAGGTCCAGGGGAGGGGGGAGCGGGAGGGGTAAACCCCTCCCCGAAGGGGAAGTAGGAGGGGTAACAGAGGAAACACTCTAGACCACGTACGCCCAAAGGGCTGGTGGGATTATGTACCTGTGACGAGAAGGCCTAAGCACAGTGGGCACACATAAGATACGCAGCGGACACTTGGAGATACCGGCCGCTGCGCAAGTCTGAAAGCGGCCCTTTTGCGCCACAGCCTGAGCCACGAGAGGAAGGGGGGAGGGTGGAGGGGAGGCGGATGGCGAGGAAGAGGAGGAGGATGGGAGAAACCCGAGGAGCAGAAGGACCCTTCCTCACCTGCACCCCAGCGGTGAGAGGGGGGGGGGCATCTCCGCGCAGCGCCAGAGAGGGGCCCAGGTAGCAGGAGGCGCGCGTCGACCCTGCCGAGAGGCGAGGCTGGGAGCGAGCGAGGCGCGCGCGCCCTGCGAGCGCGCGCGAGGGCGGGTCCTGGCACCCGCTAGACAACGAGACCACCTATGGCGTCATCGTGAACAGGCGCGGCAGCGAGCGGGCAGCAGCGCTCGCAGGGGCAGGGGGGCGGGGCGGGGCGAGGGGAGTTCGGAGGGGGGGGGCGAGCGAGGAGGAGGAGGGCGACGACGACGAGGAGAGCGACGACGAGGACGAGGAGCAGAGGGAAGGAGGAGGAGGAGGAGGAGGAGGAGGAGGAGGAGGAGGAGGGAGGAGAGGGGAGGAGGAGGAGGAGGAGGAGGAGGAGAGGAGGAGGAGGAGGAAGGGGAGGAGAGAGAAAGACGAGGACGACGAGGTAGACGAAGGAGACGAAGGAGGAGGAAGGTCAGAGCCCCGCAGGTGCGAGTAAGTCTGATGGGGGCAGGGAGCTGATCGTCGGCAGCTTGCGAGGCTCGAGAGCAAGCGTGACGTAGTACACCGCAGGCGCATTTTTTCTGTTGGGCGCCAATTTCACCGAGCGCGTCCACCGCTCGCAAGTGCCTACTCGCAAACGTCCGAAAAACACATGTCCGCTTTGATGTAATTTATCGTATATCCTCTGCGGGGGATCCAGGCCATTCGCGAGTGGTTACTTCGCGAGTAGTGGAACGCGCTCGTCTACAATTGCTCTTGTCTAAAGAATGCGGGTGGGTCGCGGGTTGGTCGCGGGGCGGGTCGTGGAAGGGCGGCGGGGGTGAGTCGAGGGCAGGTCGCGGGTTGGGTCGCGGGCGGGTCGCGGGCGGGTCGCGGGGCGGATCGTGGGTGGGTCGCGGGGCGGGGCCGGCAACAGAATCCGCACCGCGGATGTGTTTTTCGGCCACGCACCCAGGGACAGTGCGAGACCGCTCGGCCAACCCAACCCGGTTAGCGGAGGGGAGAGGGGGGAGCTTGGAGTCCCGAAACGGTGTGGTGATGGACCGTGCGGTGACCTCGAAATCCCCCAAGACCTCACCGCACGGTCCGTCACCGCACGGGTTTGGGACCTTGGAGGCCCCTGTCGCCCGAGAATATCCTCGGAGAGGGACTCGTGTCCCAAAACTGTGCAGTGACCCCGAATCCCCACCGACTCAACACACGGTGTGGTCACCACACCCCTTGGGGGCCCCCGAGGGAGGGAGGAGGAGGAAAAGGGGGGTACGAGATCTGAGTGAGGATCGAGGTGGACGGCGGAAGAGGAAGAGAAGGAGAAGGATATTGATGTTTTGTGATGAGGAACATGAGAAGGGCACGAACAGGAAAAGTAGAGATATCCAAACACCCCGCAGTCGCGGATACGAGTGAGGGGGCGTCGAAGACGTCGTCAGTCTGCGAGGTTCTGAAGCCCGCCGCAGGCGCCAACTTTTTACACATTATGCAGTGAGCCCGCCGCAGGCGCCGATTTTTCGTTAGGGTGGATCGCGGGGTGGGTCGCGGGTGGGTCGCGGGCTGGGTCGCGGGCCGGGTCGCGGGCCGAGTCGCGGGTGGGTCGCGGGATTGGTCGCGGGGTGGGTCGCGCATGGATCGCGGGGTGGGTCGCACGCGGGTCGCAGGTGGGTCGCACGTTGGGTCGCAAGTTGGGTCGCCAGGTGGGTCGCGGGATGTATCGCGGGTGGGTCGCGGGAGGGTCGCGGGGTGGGTCGCGCGGTGGGTCGCGGGTGGGTCGCGGGTGGGTCACGGGGTGGATCGCGGGCGGGTCGCTGGTGGGTCGCGGGATGGGTCGCGGAGTGGGTCGCGGGGTGGGTCGCGCGTTGGGTCGCGGGGTAGGTCGCTGGTGGGTCGCGGGTGGATCGCAGGGGGAACGCGACAACAACAACAACAACAATAACAATCACTTTACCCGAACGCTCAGTGTTCTCACCAGTGCCAGGGTTTTCATGCGACGCCAGCCAATACCCCCACTTTGTGGGGGGGCAGTGCAAGCTCTACCAAATATCCACACGACTCTTCGCCACCACCCACACCCAGCTTCCCGCCCTATGACGTTCGGACACTTCACTTCGTGGCCTGCGGACGACCGTGGCTACTACACTGGCGTGGAGTACACACCCACAGAAGTTGTTAAGCCTACGTTCGTACACCCACAAAAGTTGTTAAGCCTTGTTAACCCACAGACGGTTTTTAGAAGCCCAATGGTTTTGGGAGATTTCGGCGTGCGCGCGCGAAGAAAAAACGAATGTGTCCCGCATGGTATTATTTGACAGGGATGATGGCCCTGGCAGGTGCGCAACCGTTGTCGCAGAAGTTCGAAAAAGTTGCTCGCAAAAGCCCGTTTGACAGAAATGTTTAAAAAATGTTGGTTTTCCTACGAATCCGCAAGAGCGCGCGGGATGAGATTTTGACATTTTTTTGTTGAAAAACCATTGGTTTTTTGATGTTTTTATGTTAAAATCGCTCCGAACACTAAGCTTTTGGAAGGATTTCGTCTTGCGCGCGCGAATGTCCACTTTACCTTATTTTTTGCAAGGGATTCTTGAAATTTGATTATATTAGAACAAGAAATGTCATTTTATAGTGTTTTTTGCAAGGGAAAACGGATTACAACAAAACAACCGGATCTGGACCCCATCCACTTTTCTGAAGCTTTCGTGAAAAAATGATGAAAATGTAGCTGCGGCCTAGGCGCGGCGGGGGGGCCGTGCACCAGGGGTCCCAACAATAATTATTCTTTAGAATTAATAATGTTCAACACTTTTACCCTCATGCGCGATGTTCCCACACGAAGCATGCGACCATCATGATAACCATCCACGTAATGGGGGACACTTGTTCTATAGCGGGGTCAATTTTTCCCCATTCCCAAATCTCCCGCTCAATGAGGTCTTGCAAACACCTCCTCCGAGGAATTTCAACATATCCCGCTTCGAAAACACATACCCACACCTTGCTGCGCCGATGCGAGACCGCCAGTGGAACCCCAGCGAAGGGTAAAGGACAAGGAAGTATCGAACGACAGGATTGCCTTTGTGGGGATGGGGGCTGTCGGCGGTGAGGCAAGGACCTGGCCCTGAATAGAAAGGGAGGAAGTCTCGAGCAGGGTTGCTGTTGTTGTTGGGAGCGGCGCCAATGCTACAGGGAGTAGGGCGCTAGTCCAGCGTAAAATGGAAGGAAGTCTCGAGCGGGAACGCTGGTTTTGTTGAGGCGGCGGCCTTCAGCGGCGAGGCGGAACATCGCCTCAAATAAGAAAGGAGGAAGCATCGAGCGGGAGCCGTGGTTTTGTCGGGACGGGGGTTGTCGGCGGCGAGGAACAGCACCGTCCCGAGGAAGAAGAGGACATTTCGAACGGGAGCGTTGTTCTTTCTTGGAGCGGCGCCAATTCAAAAGAGAGTAGGGTGCCAGTCCAGCGTACAACGGAAGGACGTCTCGGGCGGGAGCGCTGGTTTTATCGGGGCGGTGGCTTTCGGCGACGAGGAGGAACACCGCCTTGAGCAAGATGGGAGGAAGCATCGAGCGGGAACCGTGGTTTTGTCGGGACGGGGGTTGTCGGCGGCGAGGAACAGCACCGGTTTCAGGGAAAAAGGGAGGAAATCTCGAGCGGAAGCGTTGAGTTTGCTGGGAAAAAGGGAGGACATCTCGAGCGGAAGCGTTGAGCTTGTTGGGAACTGCGCCAAGTCAAAAGAGAGTTGGGCGCCAGTCCAGCGTAACACGGAAGGAATTCTCGGGCGGGAGCGTTGGTTTTGTCGGGGCGGCGGTTTTCGGCGGCGAGGAGGAGCACCGCCTTGAGTAAAAAAGGGAGGAATCCTCGAGCGGGAGCGTTGTTTGTGTTGGGGGCGGCGCCGATGAGAGGAAGATTAGCACGCCAGTCCAAGGTAAAACGGGGCGAGTCTCGAGCGGGAGCGCTGGATCTGTTAGAACGGCGGCGTTTGGCGGCGAACACGATCACCAGCCCTGAGCAAAAAGGGGGAAGCCTCTAGCGGGAGCGTTGTTGATGTTGTTGTTGTTGTTGTTGTTGTTGTTGTTGTTGTTGTTGTTGTTGTTGTTGTTGTTGTTGTTGTTGTTGTTGTTGTTGAACTCTCATTCTTGAAGAATGATTATTGTTGATCCCCCCCACCGGTGCACATTGATTTGTTTCGATTGAAGTGCCACCCCCGGGGCTCGTACCTTTTTTTTCTCAAGGAAAGTCTTCCTGCTCAAACTGTGCCCCTGCCTCCCGGGCTACAACAACAACGGCTCCCGCCTGAGATTTCCTCGATTTTTACTCAGGACCCCCGCTCCCGCTTGAGACTTTCGCGCAGTTTACTCAGGAAAGGCGCTCCCGTCTGAGACTTCCTCGCAATGTAATCAAGACCCCCGCTCCCGCCTGAGACTTCCGTGCAATTTACATGGGAACGGCGCTCCCGCGTGAGATTTCTTCTAATTGTACTCAGGACCCCCGCTCCTGCCTGACATTTCCGCGCAATTGACTCAGGAACGGCGCTCCCGCCTGAGACTTCCTCGCAATTTAGTGAGGACCCCCGCTCCCGCCTGAGACTTCCGTGCAATTTGCTCAGGAACGGCGCTCCCGCTTGAGACTTCCTCGCAACTTAGTCAGGGCCCCCGCTTCCGCCTGAGATTTCCTCACAATGTACTCAGGACTGCGCTCTCGCGTGCGACGTCCTCACAAATTATTCTGGAATTGCGTTTCGGCGCTCAGGAACCACGCACGCGCCAAGGACGCCTTCACAACGTGGTATCTTCCCTCTTCCTTCGTCCTTCCCCCTCCCCTTCCTCCCACTCTCCCTCGTTCTTCCCCTCCTCCTCTTGCAGGGCCCGCGCCAATTCCAATGGCGGGCAGAGAGATGTACGCCCCCGAAGGATTGTCCGCCCGTTCCGGTTTGCCCGTACGTCTAAGCCCGCCGGCCCCAGCAAAGAGAAATAATCCCCCCGAAAGGGGTGTGATCGAAGACGAAGAGGGCGGGCATCGAGGGTGTAGGGTATACGTGTTGAATGACTCGCGGGCAAGTAAGAGCGTACAGCCTTAAAATGGTGGTTGTTGTTGTTGTTGTTGTTGTTGTTGTTGTTGTTGAACATTATTTACTTCTAAAGAATAATTATTGTTGGGGCCCCTGGTGCATGGCCCCCCCGCCGCGCCT